GGCTTGGAGTGGAAAGGACTAGAGTGCCTCTTCTAGCTTGATAATTACCAATAAATAAACTATTAGCTCAATGACGTACCGTCGCATGGTTGAAATTGACTTTTTCCCTTCTCAACAATTTAACACAATTCTTAAATTGGAAACAAAAAAAATTATATGTGATTATTTATGAAGTTCAACACCATTACACTCAAATATTATTATCCATTAATTAACAACGTTATGTCTCTTGGCACATTTCGACTGACCTCCTAGCCAAGGCATTTTATTCTCTTGGGATCAATAATGATCTCATCGTAAATGAGTTTAATCAATTTATAGATATAAACATTACTTGAAGTGAAAACAAAAGCAACTAGAAAACAAACTCTCCTACAGCGAAGGATTCAACATTCTTTGCATTCAAACTAAACGCTGAAAACCCATTCGAAAAAAATACCTCCCGCTGAAAATGCTGGCTCATTTTGGATTTTGTCGGTGCCGACAAGCCATGGTTGTTCTTATCTTGTAGGCGTGTGCATTTGTTGTTGCAGAGAACATGAAACGGGATTGACCTGAACACGGTGAGGAGTTAGAACAGTGGAGGAAGGATTGAAAATAGCAAGAACTCTCCGTTACAAAACTCATAACTATTGCATCGTTTACTATTAGAAGATGAAGTATTTGATTGAATTGAAAATTGTGCTACACAAAATTTTCTAATGAAGCATGCCCTGACCTTCCTACGACTTGTGATCGTCCCCGACAAGATGGGTAGCCGTTTTTAAAATTGTTTCACATTAATGGTGGATTCGCTTGATGCACATTTTATAGATATGATATAAACAGCTAATCCATCAAACTACAATCTCAACTCGTTCCATCTCAATCAGGGTTGATCTTGCACTAAGATATCTTTGAGCTCGGAATTGTCGACTGACCTCCTAGCTAAGGTATCTTTTGTTTTTTGAGATCAATAAAGATCTCATCGTAAATGAGTTTAGTCAGTTTACAGATATAAACATTACTTGAAGTGAAAACAAAAGCAAATGGAAAACAAACTCTCTTACAGCTAAGGATTCAACATCATTTGCATTCAAACTAAACACTGAAAACTCAATCAAAGAAAACACTCTGCTGCTAAAAATGCTGGCTCGTTTTGGATTTTGTTAGGGCCGACAAGCCATTGTTGTTGTTATCTTCAGGGCATTTGCAGTTGTTGTTGTAGAGAACATGAAACGGGATTGACCTGAACAGGGTGAGGAATAGAATGGTGAATGGAAAGAATTCTCCATTACAAAACTCATAGCTGTTGCACCGTCTGGTGTTAGAAGAGGAAGTATTTGATTGAATTGAAAATTGTGCTTTACAAAAGAGAATAACAAATGTATATACAGATTGGCCAATATAACTAACTAGAATGAGACAAAAGAGACTTTTCTAGTAGCAAGCAGCAGCACGATTTGTAGGAGCATTAGCAATTGGAATATCACGCTGCAGTATTTGCATGGGATTTTGAGTAATGATGAGCAAGTACGGGCTTTAATGGCTTGGAGTGGAAAGGACTAGAGTGCCTCTTCTAGCTTGACAATTACCAATAAATAAACTATTTGCTCAATGACATACTGTCGCATGGTTGAAATTGACTTTTTCCCTTCTCAACAATTGAACACAATTCTTAAATTGGAAATAAAAAAATTTATATGTGATTATTTATGAAGTTCAACACCATTACACTCAAATATTATTATCCATTAATTAACAACGTTATGTCTCTTGGCACATGTCGACTGACCTCATAGCCAAGGCATTTTATTCTCTTGGGATCAATAACGATCTCATCGTAAATGAGTTTACTCAATTTATAGATATAAACATTACTTGAAGTGGAAACAAAAGAAAATAGAAAACAAACTCTCCTGCAGCGAAGGATTCAACATTCTTTGCATTCAAACTACAACTGAAAACCCAATCAAAGAAAACACCCTCCTGCTGAAAATGATGGCTCATTTTGGATTTTGTCGGTGCCGACAAGCCATGGTTGTTCTTATCTTGTGGGCGTGTGCATTTGTTGTTGCAGAGAACATGAAACGGGATTGACCTGTACACGGTGAGGAGATAGAACGGTGGAGAAAGGATTGAAAATAGCAAGAACTCTCTATTACAAAACTCATAGCTATTGCGCCGTTTGCTGTTAGAAGATGAAGTATTTGATTGAATTGAAAATTGTGCTACACAAGATTTTCTAATGAAGCATGCCCCAATTTGAGCTCTTTTGTTGAGCATCTCCATATTGTACTACATTTACTTAGTCCTCATGATCTCCGACCTTCGTATGGTTCGAGCTGAGTATCTCTTTGATAGTTGACTCCTAGCACATGGGTAGCCGTTTTTAAAATTGTTTCACATTAATGGTGGATTTGCTTGACGAACATTTTATAGATATGATATAAACAGCTAATCCATCAAACTACAATCTCAACTCGCTCCATCTCAATCTAGGTAGATCTTGCACTAAGATATCATTGAGCTCGGAATTGTCGACTGACCTCCTAGCTAAGGTATCTTTTGTCTCCTCAGATCAAGAAAGATCTCATCGTAAAGGAGTTTAGTCAGTTTACAGATATAAACATTACTTGAAGTGAAAACAAAAGCAAATAGAAAACAAAATCAAAAGCAAACTCTCCTGCAGCCAAGGATTCAACATCATTTGCATTCAAACTAAACACTGAAAACTCAATCGAAGAAAACACTCTCCTACTGAAAATGCTTGCTCATTTTGGATTTTGTCGGTGCCGACAAGCCATGGTTATTGTTATCTTCTGGGCATTTGCACTTGTTGCAGAGAACATGAAACGGGATTGACCTGAACACGGTGAGGAGATAAAATGGTGGAGGGGAGATTGAAAATGGCAAGAACTTCCCATTACAAAACTCATAGCTGTTGCACCGTCTGGTGTTAGAAGAGGAAGTATTTGATTGAATTGAAAATTGTGCTTTACAAAAGAGAATAACAAATGTATATACAGATTGGCCAATAAAACTAACTAGAATGAGACAAAAGAGAATATCCTTGTAGCAAGCAGGAGCACGATTTGTAGGAGCAATAGCAATAGGAATATCACGCTGCAGTATTTGCATGGGATTTTGAGTAATGATGAGCAAGTACGGGCTTTAATGGCTTGGAGTGGAAAGGACTAGAGTGCCCCTTCTAGCTTGATAATTATCGATAAATAAACTATTTGCTCAATGACGTACTGTCGCATGGTTGAAATTGATTTTTTCCCTTCTCAACAATTAAACACAATTTTTAAATTGGAAAAAAAAATTATATGTGATTATTTATGAAGTTCAACACCATTACACTCAAATATTATTATCCATTAATTAACAACTTTAATTTGGTTTACGGAAAATGAAATATTGCTTATAATTAATATACGCGATTAAAAAAAAATACGTGAACGGCGGACAAAAATAATTGTGGCACTTTACTAGTTTTGTTGCAAAATGAAAGGTGTTTTTTGGGATTTTGAAAAGTAATCATATCCACGTAATCGTGCTAAATTGCTAGAATAATTGACATAATGCAACATATCACTCTATCGTTAGACTGTTTAAAACACAATCAGCTTTTCAATCAAATCATCTTCCGCCACCTAATAATAGTAGAAATGATGAAAGGTATACCGTATATAATGAAAAAATGTCGAAATAAAGAAAAAAGGCCTTAATTTATTCTCTTTGATTTCTCATAATTCCAAAAAATAAAATAAAAATTGAAAGAAATTCAATGTTTCAATAATTTTAATTATAAAATAGCAAACCAAAAAATCACATAAATATATCATTTAAATGGAAAAGTAAGTAAAGAAAAAGAACGATAATATTTAACAATATATGTGTGAACATACCATAGGACTTATTAAATAATAATGATATCTAGTATCACTTATACTAAAACATCATTTTAGGTGGTTATGATTTATATGTTCAATTAAATGAATCATCTAACTTTACATTCAAATGGATATATTATTTAATGTCACTAGACTAGTGCTTGACTTCAATAATGAATAACATTACTCCTTATTAAATGAGTAGTTATATTTAAGAGAACATATGATTTAACGACGTAAATGGTGTTACCTAAACTAATGTTCAATACTAGTAATGTTAAATAGTATTACTCAATAATTTAATAAACTAGTCTATAGCTCTACATAATTATTAACTAAGAGAACGAGAACATAGGGTTCGGTATAAACTATATTTTAAGGCCATGTTTGGTTCGAATAAAAATCTGATTTTAATCCAAGTCAAAATTAAACAATCAATATCAACCACATCTTTCATGGGTTTTACAACTTTTCAACCACACATTTCAAAATCTTCTATCACAATCTACTAAAAATCTAATTTTAATCTCTACCAAACACCCTCTAAGAATAATCCATGTCTGAAACCATCCTCAATTTCAACAGAATTCATTGAAATAAATAAAATTTGAAGCATTTTCCGACCAACCCTACACCCCAACATGGAGGTGGCAATTTCATGAATGATAATAACCTTGGAAGGAGGATCGTTGTTGTTCATCTATCTCTTACGAACCCTTCTGTAAAACAAAATTCTTAGAACCCCCACCTGCTAATTTTAACAATCATGCTACAAATACACAAAATTTTGACAGAAAGCTTCAATAGATAACACATGGTGGGAATTGATTGGAAGATGGAAAGAGAAAAAAAGAAAAAGGCAGTCCAATCATCTGCTGCCAGTCGATAAGAGTTTTGTCAAGAATTCCTATACTCATAGCTTTTTTCTAATTTTAATAGCATTGTGCCTTAAAAAGGATATATGCACAATCCAAATAAATCTTGCTAATAAACGTTTTTATAGACCATCAAAAAGAGTTGAAAGTCGGGATTGCTTTCTCGTAAAAAAGAACCAAATAAGTAGACATAAAACATTGAAGCCTCAATTTACTGACTTATGCAGCACCTGGTGCACTCTCAGACTTATCGGTTTTCTGTTCCAGTAGTCTCAGTTGCACCAGAGTTCCGGTTGGGATTTGAATTCGGGTTCTCTGCACCTTGAGATTGTGAACCATCTCCTTGAGAGGATGCTAGCGAGGGTGTTTCGGGAGTAGTTGGCTTCACTGGCATTGGTTTTGTCATTGTCGGCCTACAAGACCTGTGAAAGCAAATACAGTTTAAGTGATCAGGACAAGATTTATACTTGGAAAGAAACTGAAATCATCAATACAGCTCCATTTAAAGGGAAAATTTTCCTATTGGGGCTCTGACCTATTGCTTGAGTAGCATATTGCTTTGCTACATTTCATTATAGTTGTACAATCAGTTCTTATCGACTGTCTAAACCTCTGCTAAATCATTACTATTGCCTGAGTAGCATGTGATGATTTAACAGAGATGTAGACATTTCTATAGTCGATGGCTCGTTGTACAACTGTAATGAAAGTTTTAAACCAACTTGCTACATGGACAATAGGCAGAGGACCTGAAACTTCCCCTCATTCAGAAGGGAAGCCTTTATCTTTAGCATCTCAATTATTGTGATCCTAAATAATAGTAAAATATATCAGGCAATCTTAACTCTTGCAAACAAAAATATGCAAACGGTTGCAGTTTGTGTAGATTTGCAGAACCAAAGACCGAAGCAAAGCACTGAGATCAGAACCATAAAGCAGATTGGAAACCAATTCATAATTACTGCCCATTTAAGATATAGTACCTGCAAAGAACTTCAGTTTTTTTTTCCTTATGTCCGCAGACAAAAGAACTGGGTTTGCATATTTCGGAAGTGGATCCTGATGCTGCATTTTCTCTCTCAACCAAGCCTCGGCATCCAGACTCTCGCTCAAACCTGGCGATAAATTCACAATTCGTTTAGAATTCAACATGTCTGTATGCTCATACAGACAAATAAGGTTTCTGTTATGTAGATGAGGGGGCAGGGACAGGGAGCGGTAAGGGTAACAAATTGTATAGAGGAACTGATTTAACATATGTATACCCTCTGGAGCTCCTCTAGCTTCTCTATATAAACACCTCTTGTCTCATCCTCACCGTCCTCGTATAACCAATCCTCGACCTCCTGGAGTTTAGCAATGAACAGCTCTTTATCTGAATCCATCACAAACTAGTTATACTTGCAGGGAAAAGATTGCTGTAATGAAGGGCATTCCTGATATGTTTGGAAAGGTGGAATGCAATTGAAGAACGTTCCTCTTTAATACTACAGAGAATTGATGCGAGTCCAGATTTTGCCATTTCAGTGTCACTTCTGATCAGTGACCGTATGATCTACTCCAGAAATTTTAAGTTGCCAACTCCATGAAGCTTTTGGCCATTTCTTAGCACCAACTTTTACTTTTAAGCTTAGACAAACATGCTCTTATGAGATCCAACGGTCTGTTGTGTTCCTGGTTCTCCCACAATGCATAATGGTGAGGCACTGTTTTGGTATAGGAAACTAAAGATACTGGATGTGATTTAAACTACTGTCCAATTATGTCAAATTTCAAGGCAGTGGATGATCATTACATTATTGAGTTTTTTAAATGCTCTGTGCAGATATACTGAGATGAAATTTGACCAGTGAAAAAAATAGTTAGGTGAAACTTGTTTGGATAAGCCGATTTAGCCTAATTTCGCGGTCAAAATCTCTTCCATCTGTTGGGTGTTGCAGAGTTTCTTAGTGCTTTTGGTGCTTCAGGCCTTCCTCCAAGTCCAAGCCCTTTGCGTTGTCCAGTTTTGATCTGGAGCATTTTGGGCCCCACATATTGAGAAAACTTGGGTAATGACTAATTTCTTGCTTGGGGTTATGAAAAATTATCTATATAATATGAAATCTCTATGCACATTCCTTCTTTGTCGGATGGTATAGAATCCTTGGTGTAGTTTTACTTACCTTATTCACTGATCTTAACAGCATCAGGGCTATTTTTGAGTCCCAGCTGCAAAAGCATCCCTTCTGAATTAAGTATTTAAAAATATAATGTTGAAGAATAACAAATGGCCAAGCAAATCTAGTTGTGCAAGCTGATATTTTACAAATCATTCTGTTGTTTGTTTGGTACTTAGTTCTTGTGAAATTGGAACGTAAACTGTTAGTACAGGTGATTTCATCACATCTCAATTTCTGTAATGGGAATGCATTTGAATAATATGACTTTTTTGATTGCGAAGAGTGGAAAGGAAAAATCAAACAATTTAATATTATGTTTGTCGGAATATTGGACTCCAATTGCACCAAAAAACACCGAGCTCAGAAGACCAATCGACCACCACAATGCAACCCATCTCCTCCAAACGACACCAACCCATCTACCGGTTGCTCCCAAGTATTTAGCCCACAAAGGACAAGGTGTGGAGTGTTAGTAGCATCAATAATCAGCCACTAAGTCGAGAGAAGAAGAGAGGTCAAGCACAAAGCACAACCCGGAACCACCAAGGCA